TTTATTTTTTCTAAGAAGATGTTTGAAAAAAGTAAAAGATAGGCGAAAGAAAAGAAACAGTTCGTATTCACATATGAGCTAGTTTATGGTCAACAAGTGAAACATGAATAAGACTCATTAGAATCACTATTGTCTTTCATATAGACATTCACAGGGAATAATAGACCTAAAAAATTTAGTTCGTCATCACTTCACACAACATGATTGTAGCAAACTAAAAGTGTATTGAACTCATTTTGATCCAAACTCAGGTTATCAGTACTTAGATGTTCGTCTATTCTTATTCACGAATTACTTCTTTGTTGAGAACGTTAGCTTTATCAAACTTTAGATATTAATTTCGATTTTTCAAGTAAGTATTTAATTTAATCGTTATTTCCCAAAATTATATTATAAGAATACACTTTGTTTTACATTTTTTTTTGTTTATTAAAGTCTTCGTAGACATTATATAAAATGTTCAATAACTAAATTTTTTTTTTTCATTTAATTTACTCATATATATAAATGTAATGATTGTCTATATAATTATTTAATTAAATTTTCTATTATAACTAGTGAAGTTCAAAGAAACGTTATTAAAAATGAACTCTGAACTATGTTCTAAAATTACAACTGCTATACCAACAAATCCTATGAATATGTTGCTTTCAGTGGAAGGATCTATTACCTTGCCACTATCTCATTATCTGCAATTAGAATCATTCTATTACAAACAAGAAAATCGTAATTATTCATCAATTGGTACTAATACGACTTCTATTACAAGTATGTTGTGAATGCTTAAAAATGTACAAATCCAAGACTATGTAAATGTGTATAACTATGTTGTAGAATATCAAGACGCCGAGTGTCAAACAAACATTGTTTCGGCTCGTGTTAGTACAGGTACACAGACAGATAATATGATAATTTCAATAATCACACCAGAAGCTGCTACTGTTAAATATGACAATGAAACATCAACAACGATAGTCGTCGATTCACCATCATCTTCAGTTCGATCAACAGAGAAAGAAATTTCTACTGGTAAAAAAAAATCAAGTGTTACTTTGTCTCTTTATTGTTGAAAGACTCATATATGATGAAAATAATTGATTTGTCACTTTATGTTTTAGGTCAAATTAAAAATTATCCACCACCAATTGATGTTAATAAAAATCAAATATCATCTAAACAGACACGACTGAAGAAATCATATGCCATTAAATCTACCATTAGGAAAAGATTGTTAACAAGTCAAACAAAGGCAACACCAAAAATTGATCAAGCTTCTGCTATTCATGTTTCTTCATCATCTGAATCATTAAACGCTATTAATGAACGTAAAATTACCAATGATCTTGAAAAGGACAACATAAAACGAATGAATGAAAATGATAGACGAGAAAAATTTCGTTTTTTAGCTCGTGTATTAAATGAATTAGCAAATATTGATTCATCAAATTCAGATTCACACAATATGGAACTCATCATATCACACATCACTAATATGTTACATAGAATGCAATAACATAATAAATAAAGAACATCATAAAATTAAAATTATGATCATCAATATAGAACAAAAACGTAAAATCAACCAATTTCGTGGTTGATGTAGCTTTTTGTGTGTTATTTTCTTGTTTTGATAAATAATTGTTCTTTTAAATTGTATACAATTCATATTCATTTCATTTAAACAATATCAATAAAATTCTTCTATATTGATTTTGGTCAACAAATAATACTTATTTGATGCTGACGAAAAGCATAGAAATTTTATCAGTAATCGATATTCGCATTTACAAACTTTAGTTTTATCGATACGTGAGCTGTTAGGAGTATACACATGGGCATCCACGTCCACACCCTTACTGGCATGGAAGAAGAGCCAAACTGATAATAGTGGATGAGATCAGTGAAAATTCATCTTCTTCCGTTACAGTAACGTTTAAGAAATAAAAATATACCAACAAATGTATGCTTGATAATTTGTTCTCTTATATCTTAGTGTTAACATGCATCGAAGATAAAAACTGATACTTTCAAAACATTTAAAAATCAACTTCCTTTTTTAAATAATAGTAATTTATTGTGGAAGTGTTATTGAAACTAATAGAAATGTAATACGACAAAAAGAAAGGAATAAATACTATTAGATAAACATAGTAATGTTTTCCATGAACATTTCGTCTAATATTTGACATTTTGTTTAATATAAATTTTCGAAACATGTTCTCAGTTCATATTTCGAATCATTAAATTAGCTACCAAGTAATTGACAATACGATTATAAACTATTAAATAGAATTGTTTCTAACAATAATTTCGAAAACTTATTAGTACTAATTTGATGCAGAGTATGTTGCTCTATCAAAGTGTTTTCTGTATTTTTTTCAAACAAAACTTACGTGTTTGGATAAATCTCAGTGTTCGTATAGTCTTAAGTTGTCCTGGTAAAATGATGAAGATACTAATAATTTCTTATGTGAGTATTCTTGAAATAGAGGTGAGACTATTGCATATCCTTACAGTCTCATGTTCTTCAGTGTGCATTCTAGAATCGAAGAAGATATACATGTACAATAAATGTCTTCAAGAACTGTGAATTTATATAAAATTTTATTTTTTTTGATATTTTTATTACCTATCTCTTGGTACTAATAACTGAACATTTTATATTGCTGTGAATACATATGAGTATAGTTCGTGTAGAAAGTTTCTAATTTCGATGCTACGACAATAAATCTTTCAGTGATAATACGTAGCTGAATAGAATTATTTTCATTTTGAGTTTATAATGACTGAATGATTTTTGAAAAATACATCTATAGTTATCCAATCATACAAGGAAAAGTATTGAGTTTTCAATAGAAACACGGTGCAGAATCGTCTCTATTGATATGAAATACTTTATATATAGCATTGAACTTGATGACCGATAACCTACATAGATTAGTCAAAATCTGTTAAAAAAATACGTGATCTTAGCTAAGCGACTCATCGTTTCAGTTTGCACAGAGGGAAAAATTTGGTTTGAACTAAATAATCATTTTCAAAGCAAGAATCTTTAGACAACGTCATATCTGTTGTGTCATTCTACTGTTTCGATGCACTCATACGATTTTTTCATGTCACGCTATAATTCTTTTATTCTCGTTGTCTCTATGATTAAGCCATTATCGGACTTTTTCTTTTCCATCATATGAATGATGAATTTTCTTTTTCCCTCTCTTCTTTTATTTTCTCAAGTTGCTCTATTGATTTGCAATTTCAAATTGATCATCTATAGGACTTTCTATTTTTTCATTCATACAACCTATGGTTCTATTAGTCGTCAGAAAGATTGATTCATAGTGATCTATACAGAATATAAATTAAAAGAACGATAGAAGTTCCATAAGCTTCACTCAAATTTTGAAACCACTTTCAATTGTTTTCAAAAGTAGAGCACATATTTTCTTCTAATGCATCTGCGTAGACAAAATCTATGATATCTTACACAGTTTGACAAACATTATAATATAAGTGTCTTGATAATAGACAAACAACAATGACATCATTATACAAATGCCGAAAAATAAATGTATGACACTCGTTTTTATTTTAGTTATAATCTGTAATTCAATTGCTTATTGGGTGTGGGTGTGGACGTAGGGTGGAGTGTGGGTGGATGTGAACGTGGGGTGGGGTGTCGGTGTGACAGCGAGAAGTGAATGCCCACACCCACACCCGCAATACGTCTATCGACACAAAAACACAATCACAGCTAATTGAATTTCATTGTGAGATATAAATGACACATGAAGTTATTGAAACTTTACCGAATGATAAAGTAATATCTGATGAGAAAAGAGATAAATCGAATGATTTCTTTATGCAAATTGAATTATTTGTCACAATGACGCTTTCCGAACAACAGAACAATTCCAATTCGAATTGATTTTCTTTCAATTTTTCATTTAAAGCATATTTCAGATTGTTCACTGAACAATTCTATTCATTTATTAATTTGAGTTACGAAGTTATCATGACATTCTTATAAGTCATCAAAACATTCTACGATTCTTGATTTGGTTCAATGCAATCCATTACGCAAGTGAGAATCTAAATCAGGAATTGATATTCAATTGAAAATAAAGTTTCTTTTCTCTACATGTTATCTGTAAACAACATTATAATGATCGTCTCACCTCTACTGAGAAAGTCAATGATCGATGAAGGATTTTTCAAATGAACAACTTGCGAACTAATCGAAAAGCATTCGCCTAAATATTTGCATTCTTAACTAGTTCACCTCGACTGTCTGTATTGGTTATTTGAATAGTTGTTTTATTTTTCGAATATCGATAGAACACAACCGTGTCTTTTCGATCAAACATCTCCATTAAGATATGTTTATTGATGTTCAACAAAGTTCAAATCTTAGATGATCATCGATCGTCGGACATAGTGTTACACTAAAAGAAAAGAAAAAGCAGAACATAAATTATTCAAATCAATATGATCGGTAACCTTGTCTGTCGTTCGATGTCGAAGACAATGACTTGTCGAATGGGTTGATACGTTTGACTCAGAATCGATTTCAACGAGATCGACACTGATTCAACATTCTGAAGTGATCCATCGAGAGACAGGACTCGAGTGTGAGCGGTATTTGCTTTGAGCAACATGTTTGCTTGTCTAACAGGAAATCAAATAGTCCAAAATATATTTCCAACGAAAACAAACTTACTGATCGAAGACTAAAGAGAAAGCATTTCGATTTGATCCTTGAAGAGTCAATTGAATACGGCCGATAGTTTGTATTCTCTCATTTCCCATATTCAATGTTACGGCGTAGAGATGCTCTAAATCAATTCTCTTCATATTAAATAATTATGTGTGATATACCTACGACAGTAGGGATATCGATTTGCATCTTGTGTCGACAAATAGAATGATCCTTGAGGGAATGGTGAAGCATGAAGACCCATTCGATTGATTGAACTTCGGCTGCATTCGTCTGTCTGTGTCAATTTTTCCATCGAAGAACAAGCCACAGAGACATAAGAACAATTCGAATTTCGAATGGAATCAGTAAATGTATACACTGAGAATAAGTGACTACACAATACTGAATCAACGAAACCTAGATAAACGATTCGAACTTTGTCTAAACTCTCTTCATTGAAAAAATATTAATGATCATTATTCGTTTGACATATCTATACTGTCCATTTGAATAAATCTCAATCAATTCTTTATACGTATCAAAGATGTTGGAGCAAAGTTTGTTGTCTTCCTCAAAGAATGATATTTCCTAAATGAAGAAATATCGAAAAAAGTCAATCCTTTGGATTATTTATCATGCCTTTTAGACATGAAGAATTAAGACATTCGAAATGTACTTTGGAAGAATCTTCTCATAAGGCATATCTGATCAGTGACTATAATACTTGAAATGAAGAGGCCTCGTGTTACCTTCGTTATCAAATGCATTAATAATGGTATTCCAGATTTTCCCGGTCATTTTAGGACACTGAGGTTGTTCAAGACCTCCATTCGGATAGAAATCGACATGACCTAATGGCTGTAGAAGACCGAGACCCAATTGAACATGAGCTTGTCCATCCGTGTGAATAACATCGACAAATTGGGCATCACTCGGATCCAAACGAACACGAGGATCAGTCCATTCAAAGTAAGGTCCAGCTGGATCAAGACCTGTGATGCGACTGACACGAGGGATAATACGAGATCCTGCATAACCTGCTGCATGTGCACCCAAACTATGACCAATTAAGTGAATCAATTGTCGATCTGCTCCATGATTAGCAATTAACTCATCGATCAACAATGACACTTCAGCACCAACCATCTGAGTATTGGCTGTCGCTTGAGTATACGGAAAATGATTCGTTTTCGACCAATCGACAAAGATCAAGTTGCTATCTTCCTAAAAATCCAAATAAGAGTTAACAAACTCATTTGAATCAATCTAAGATATTGATTGATTACCGTATCGAGGAAAGCTTGCCGCATTTGATCGTACCATGATGCTCGATAATTTTCGATCATTCCATGAATAATTACACGAGTCATTCGATCTGATCGCCACGTGCCCAAGCCAAGATTTGCCTTTTGACGACCGATTTCGACTGCATCGCGATGTTCTCTACTCACAAAAGCATTTCTCTGTCATTTATTTCACCGTTTCTTTGATTTTCTTACCGTGTATAAAGAAAGAATCGAGTTTGCACCGTCGAAGGCTACACATTAGAGATCCAGTCTTTCGTTTTATTTAAGAAAAGAGCACTTACGGATTGAGGTATTAGAGCGATTGGTCGTTCCAACGTACCTCCTAACAATCGCATAGATAAGAAATATGAAGAATAAAATAAAATACAGACCGAATGGAGGTAATGTTGTGAAACAGCCATATTCATCATAGCATTGATTGAACAGATTTAAGAGACCTTTACTTGAAAAAACGTCACTGAGTTCACTTGTGATTTCACTTCGCACCACAATCACAGCAAAAAAACACAACAACGCCTCTCTTATCATCACTAGAATCAACATCGACTCTGCTCGATCTAATCTTCTTATAAATGAAGAAAAAAAGCAAATTGCAATTTGACACTCTGGACTTCAATGCTAAATTAAATGGAATTAAGTTAATCTTGTCACAAGGTCGTCCAAAGGCATTTCGCATTAAGTTAATTACAGAGTGATGGCGAAGCAAACGATTGGAGAAAATAGATACTTCTATTTTTCAAATTATGTCACATCAAATGATGATAGATTTGTATGACATATCAAGTGTCTCTACATTTCGATACAGCTCTGCA